CTTTTTTCTGGTGGGTAGCCCCCAACGCCCAACGATCATAACCCCCCCCCACCGCCTCAAATCACTGACCCCCCCCCAGGAAGCGCCCCGAAATCGCTCGTACGGCAATTCGTACAGCCCATACGACCGCCTAGTAGGGGTCTGGCCATTCGAGCCATATGAACGGCCCTTCTTCGTACGGGCGTACACACAAGGGGGGAAGCCTACTTTCTTAAAAAATCAGAAAACAAATGTCAGTTTTAACTTCAACAAGATGGCTGTTTTTTTGTCAGAGGCATTGTCTCAGCCCAGACACTGCGGCCTTGTGAGCCCATGTTCTTACAGGTGTACTATGTCAAAATCAAACTCTTTGAGTAGCACTACATCCTGACATTCCATTGCGATTAAATTTTGTACAAAGTGACAGCAATGCGTTTGGAACTTTGGATATGTGGCAAGCACGGAGCATTTAATTTAGCTTTTAGATAGACTGTTTGATGCTCGATCAAAACAGTACAATCTAAATTGTTTGATGTAGCTTTTGGATAGACTGTTTGATGCTCGATCAAAACTGTAAGATCAAATTGCGGACGTGCGGTACATCAAACAGTTTAGATCGTACTACAGTCTTCCCCCGAATACAACGTACGGTCATTATAGCTGAATTTGGGCTATCTTTCAGTCTAAATACAGCTATAATGACCGTACGTTGTATTCGGGCGAAGACGGTAGATGTACGATCTAACCTGTTTGATGTACCGCACAGCCGCAATTTAAAAGCACTCGCCCGTTGCAACGGGTGTCAATCAGTTTAGAATCTTTAGATAGGATGTCCATGAAAGATGCTGGTGCAGCTTCCCGCCATTAGATGGAGCCTTCATGGGAGGGGTTCACTTGAGGAGGATGCTCTTACCACCTCCTCAAGTGAACCCTTAAAAAAAAAAAAAAAAAAAAAAAAGGATAAATGTCAAAGACAACAGTCACACGGAGCCAATTGGAGCTGTACGAACTTACAACGAAGTATCATCAATTCACCGAAAATGTCTGAAAGCTGTGCATAACAATGCAGTTTTGCCTGAGGCCTGGCCACCACCCTCTCTACTACACCCTGGACCTTTAAAAAAAAAAAAAAAAAAAAAAAAAAAAANCTTTTTTTTTTTTTTTTTTTTTTTTTTTTTAAACAATCCAATTCAAATTCATTATAGGCTGCTGGGAATCAGGCCCAGCATCCCTCACATCATACGCCACAGTCTTCTGGGATGAGCCAGAAAATGCTCATCAAATATAGAACACCGCACAGTACTCTGCAGTCGTTAGGGGCCTTAGGGACCATAGTAGCCCTTATTACATCCTATACCTGTGTACCCAACATTGCAACATTGCTACAGTGCTCCGCAGTCATTAATGTCCGAGTAATATGGAATGTAGAAAACTCCTACTTTTTCCCTCAATGTACTATACTCCTGCAGTCCCCCTACCCCTAATAATCTTCTGGAAAACCTGTCCACCAGAATCGACTAAATGACAGTAAATGTACATTTAGTCGATTCTGCCCGACAGGTTTCCACAAGATTCTTAGAGGTAGGGGAATACAGGAGTAGCACATGAAGGAAAGTAGGAGTTTTTTCAGCTTTTTTGGAAAAAAAAAAAAAAAGAGGACATTATCCAACAAAACAAGGAAGCAAACGAAGCGCGCCACGCGTATCAAAAACACCGTCACAGGAAAAAAAGGCCAGAAATTGCAGCTGCTCCGGCTTCGGTCCTTCAAACATTCTAAGAGGCTGATCCCACCTCTATTCTTTTTGGAAAGACGCGAAAAAGAACGGTTTTGTAGGGCCCGTTCCGGGCGGACCGTAAAAGAGAAATGGGATCCCACCAGTCCACGATATTCGGTTCTTTTTCAGGATTCGCGCCGGAAATGTATGGGTGTGACAATAGACCTACTTCCCGAAGTCGTCCACCCGGACATTGGTCGGGTGTTGAGCGGCCTGCCGGTTTCAAGTGCCTCTCGCGGACATGTACAAACAAAAAAAACGGGAAGGAAAACCCCGCCTTCTTTTTCGGGGAAAAGACGGGGTCGTCTCCCTTTGCATTTTCAAAAGAACTTTCTGGCCTGCAAACGCGGCCGGCTCGACACGTCCACTTCCGTTTCCACATCCTCGATAAAAGAGGGCCCTCTCCGCCTCACGCGGAAAGAGGTGGGATCCCAAAAAAGGCCGTTTCTCGCCAAAAAGAATAGAGGTGGGATCAGCCTCTAATCGCCACCAAGTCCGGGAGGATCCCCCATCGGCTTATGAACAATTTGAAATGGCAATGACCGCTTTCGCTGCACAGTGCACACCCTTTCTTTTGTAGTGTCTCGGAACTTTCTCCTGCCAATCGGCCAAAACTGCCTGCTTTTTTTTTAATTCGCGAATCGCAATTTGACTTGCGCCCTCACCATTGGTGGCGGGAGTTTCTCCTCTCTCAGAGTTTCTCAAACTCCAGAGGGCCCACAACATCGCACCCCTTAATGTTTTTTTTTTGTTTTTTTTTTTGTTTTTTTTTTGTGTGTGTGTGCACATAGTTCCTTTGTTCTGACTGTTGGCCTTTTTGTAAAAGGGCCCAGTGCCCAAGGCAAAAAAAATACAGACAAAAAAGAGCATTGCTGTTTCAGCGGCCACGAGGTCTCTAGAATTAACAACCACAAAACTAGAAATCCTAGAATTAACATACACAAAAGTGACAAAACTATCACCAAGGCTACAATTTGAGTGCGAATCCAGGAAACACTAGAAAATTGGCAGAATATTAGAAGATATAATTCTAACTTGAATAGAAGAAAAAAGGTGAAAAAAAATCAAAAAAATAAAATAAAAAATTCAAAATTGTACGTTTGCAAAAAAGCAAACCTCCATTCATGACAAAGAACAACAAAAACGAAAAAAGAAAAAGAAAGATTTGTCCTTTGGCCCGGCACAACCTCTAAATTTGGAATGATAGAGAGAAGAAGATTAATTGATTAGCATAGCAACTGAACAAGGACAACACATGTATTAATACATTTTCTGGTTGAGAAAAAAAAAAAAAAAAAAAGAACAGATTCCTTTTTCGTAATTCATTTTTTCGACATTGGGTTAGCGTTGCACAATCGTCCAGTGTTTGGGCTTGACCAGTAAAAGAGAGAGAGAGAGAGAGAGAGAGAGAGAGAGAGAGAGAGAGAGAGAGAGAGAGAGAGAGAGAGAGAGAGAGAGAGAGAGAGAGAGTTAACAAGTAATAATAACAATGCCTGTTTTTTTTTTGTTTTTTTTTTTCCAGCAACAACACCTTCACACATTCGCTTGAAGTTATAAACCTTCAGCACAAACACAAAACATCAGGGGTGCAACTTCTGCAGTGCACACAAGGGGCAGGGCTGGAACTTCTCCCAACACAGCAGCGACTTTCAGAAAAAACTTGCCGAGCCGTAATCTGCACCATGTTGTCATACATTTGTAAAGTTACTTTTTTTCATTAAACAAAACCTTACCTTAGTATACCCAACTGTTAATTTACATATCTGCCCCCAGAAAGAAGCAGGGTATCGACTTCGCAGAGCATGGCAGTAGCGCTCACAAATCACCGGAGGATACCCGACAGCAGACTACGGGTTCGGCAAATCGTCGATCGCTTCGTTGAACCTCCGGTTTACCCAACAGTCGTCCAACGGACCACAGGAACCAACAACTTGTACCGCTTGCACAGTGGTCTGGTGGTCCCACCGGACCACCGGACCACCGGACCACTGAACCACCGGACCACCGGACCACCGGACCAACAGACCACCAGATTAACGGACCAGAGGCCCAAGAATTGCTTTTCACTGTTTCAATGTACGTTGACGAGAACCTCGTTTAGCTGAGATTTGTTTACCGAGCCTCTTTTTGAGCCGAGAGTTTTTTACCGAACCTCATTTTACCTAAGAATTTTGTTTACCTCTGCAGAACCTCAGTTGTCCGACGGACCACAGGAAGCAACAACTTGTACCGCTTGCACAGTGGTCTGGTGGTCCCACTGGACCACCGGACCACCGGACCACCGGACCACTGGACCACCGTACCACTGGACCACTGGACCACTGGACCACATGCCCAAGAATTGCTTTTCAAGTTCTCACTGTTTCGATGTACGTCACGGTCGTAGAGAACTCCGTTTAGCTGAGAGTTGTTTACCGCACCTCTCTTTTAACCGAGAGTTTTTTACCGAACCTTGTTTTACCTGAGAATTTTTTGTTTACCTGTGCAGAACCTCAGTTCAACCAGAAGCCGCCCATGCAGTGAAAATCAAGGAGTTACTGTCCACTGCCCAGTAACAGACAAACAGCGAAGGAAACAAAAAAAAAAAGAAAAAAAAAAGGAGGAAAAAAGTTCAAAAAACTAACAAGAAGCATGCAGGCCACTGCTTGGCAAAGGAAGTTGCAAGAATCTCCCTTCACCTGGCGGTAAATTTAACCATTGCCCCTGAAGGAGGAGGGTTGCAATTTCTTGCAGCCTTGCAGGACAGCGGCAGCCTTCCTTATTTGCAATTTCTGGCCCCATGAGCATCAACGTTCGGAAAGCATGAACCTGGATGCAATAATGTCCAGGTGCAATTGTAACGGGCAGCCCCCAGTGGTGCTATGTTCATGCTTGGAAAGACTGAACCTGTCCCATGATCGTGTCCAGATGGCCCCTCAAAAGAACAGTTGAAGAAAAGCTCTCATGCGTGTGTGTGTGTGTGTGTATGCCCTGAAGAGAATACGCGTCACCGCACCGAGGTGATACTCACACTGGTACTTTTTCTACTAAGTTCTGGACCTGATTGCAGTCAGATTCATCTAGCTCTGGCCGTAATTGCAGTCAGATACACTCAGGAAAGTGCTAGCGTGAGTATACCTTGAGCAGAGCCTCTGTTTACCCAAGATTACACGTCCGAAGATCAATCGAACAAGTCCTGGTGTGCATATGCCCTGAAGAATCGAAGTCACTTCGCTGAGCAGAGTCGCTGTTTACCCAAGATAAGCTCTGGACGTGATGGCAGTCAGATTCATCTCGCTCTGGCCGTAATTGCAGTCAGATACATTTAGGAAAAAAGTGCTAGTGTGAGTGTACCCTTATATCCTGAGCAGAGCCTCTGTTTACCCAAGACCACGCGTCCGAAGATCAATCGAATAAGTCCTGGTGTGCGTATGCCCTGAAGAATCGAAGTCACTTCGCTGAGCAGAGTCGCTGTTCACCCATTGCAAAGATCAACCTTCAAAAGTTACCGCAGTAAAACCAGCAGGAGCGCCCTGTCGACAATGGCTGCGTGCCCAGCTCAGTGGGCGTACTATTCTTTCGCCTTTTACTAAAGAATACCGTGGGCTGAGCACACGTAAGCAGCTTACGTGAATTTTTCACAGGCCTACCAGACTAGTCTTAGCAAGAAAAAAAAAGGAGCGCCCTGTGGAGTAAGCATAGTGTACACAGCGGAATGTTACGGTAGCGGATGGCCTAGCTCAGTTGGTACACCCCTGAACTGTTGAAGTATGATAGACCTGAGTTCGAACTTCGAACTCCACCCACAAAAAGCAGACGAAAAAAAAGTTACCATAGGGGGGTGGTAAAACTTTTACTGTTCCACAGTTTTCACTTCTTCCCTGGGAAGAGGCAGGACGGCAAACTCTGACGCAGATTACGGAGCAGTACCACAGCTCGTACGAGCTCCTGTTCGATGGGAATCCGACAGTGGCCGATGACAGCACCATAAAGTTGAAATCGGGTGGTCCTACCGAGCAGACCCTTAATGAGAGTTCGGGAACCCCTAATAAACCCCTTAACGTACACAATGTGGGCGTTTGACGTTCGAACGAACCAGTAGAATGTAACACAGTAGTAACAGTTACTTTACCTCGCAGTAACTTCAACTGATATCAAAGTTTACTGCTCGGTAAATCATATGAGCTTGAAATAAGTCCCCACTTGGTCACGAGCTTCCCTTTGAAACTAGCCACCACATTGCGGCAACCTGATCTGGGTTCAAACCCCCATTTTTTCTTACCAAGCTTGGTAAACCAGCTGCGAACGAATTCCTGTGAGTTTACCAAGCACAACACTACTTTACCTGGTACAAACTTTTTGCTAACTGAGCCCTGTGTTCAAACCCCCGTTTTACCAAGCGTCGTAATTTAAACCAGGTTCAAACCAGTGTCCAGTTTACCAAGCACAAGACTACTTCAAACACCCGGTTTGCTAACCGGAACCCTGTGTTCGAACCCCAGTTTTACCAAGCGTCGTAATTTAAACCAGGTTCAAACCAGTGTCCAGTTTACCAAGCGCAAGACTACTTCGAACACACGGTTTGCTAACGGGAACCCTGTGTTCGAACCCCAGTTTTACCACGTGTGGTAGTTTAAACCAGGTTCAAACCATTGTTCAGTTCACCAAGCACAAGACTACTTCGTACACACGGTTTGCTAACGGAAACCCTGCGTTCGAACCCCAGTTTTACCAAGTGTGGTAATTTAAACCAGGTTCAAACTTCAAACCAGTGTCCAGTTTACCAAGCGCGAGACTTCTTCACCTGGTACAGACGGTTTGCTAACCGAAACCCTGTGTTCGGACACCCGTTTTACCAAGCGTGGTAATTTAAACCAGCTTCAAACCAGTGTGCAGTTTACCATGCACAAGACTATTTTACCACAGTCAACTTTACTTCACCTAACATAGTAAGCTCACCTTGTCTAGTTTACCGAGAGAAGAACCCTACCACAATGACATGCAATTCTATCCAGCAGAACCCTGCCAGGCAAACCCTGCCAAGCAGAACCCTGCCAATCAGAACCCTACCAGGCGGAACCCTACTAAGCAGAACCATACCAAGGAAAACCCAACAAAGGGAAATTTCAAGCCCCACAAAGCGATACCCTACCAAGCAGAACCCTAAACCAAAGGGAACCCTGCCAAATGGAACCCTTTCATACAGAACCCTAAGCGGAGGAGCCCTGCCAAACGGAACCCTACCAAGCAGAACCCAACCAAGGAAAACCCTAAAGAGGGAAACCCTACAAAGCAGAACCCTGCCAAGCGGAACCCTAAACCAAGGAGAACCCTAAGAAGGGCAACCCTACATAGCGGAACCCTAAACCAAACAGAACCCTCCTAGACAGAACCCTAAGCAGAGCCCTGCCAAATGGAACCCTAAGCGGAACCCTAAATGGAACCCTACCAAACGGAACCCTCGTAGACAGAACCCTAAGCAGAGCCCTGCCAAATGGAACCCTAAGCGGAACCCTACGCGGAACCCTAAGTGGAACCCTAAGCGGAGCCCTAAGTGCAGCCCTAAACGGAACCCTAAGCGGAACCCTAAGCGGAACCCTAAGCGCAGCCCTAAGTGCAGCCCTCAACGGAACCCTAAACGGAACCCTAAGCGGAACCCTAAGTGGAACCCCAAGTGGAACCCTTCCAAATTTAACAACCCTGCCAAACGGAACCCTTCAAGACGAACCCTCACAACCAAGTGGAAACCGAATCAAACGGAACCCTACTAAAGCGAACCCTACCAATAAGAACCCTACCGTCTTCACCCGAACAGAACGCCCGGTAATTATCACCATACCCGGGATGAAAGTTGTGCCAAATACAGCTATAATGACCGGGCGTTCTACTCGGGTGAAGACCGTCACTTAAAAAGCAGAATCCTACCAAGCAGAGCCCTGACAAGAGTAACCCTAGGTTACAAGGTGGTAAAAATAAAGTTCATCGACCAGAGCAGAGACCTTAACTCTCCGGAAAGTAACTCTTTACCCAAAGTTACCGATCACAGCTGCCTTACTTTTACCAAACGCGGTTACAAGCAGTAAAGACAACTTTACCTCACAAAAATGGTAAAGATGTACATTTACCGAGCCGAATGCTAACTTCGCAACCAAGTAACTCTAGTAACTCTACCCAGCTTACGGAACAGAACAAGCAGTAAAGACAACTTTACCTCGCATACGGTAAAGATTTACATTTACCAAGCTGAATGTTAACTCGCAACCAAGTAACTCTAGTAACTCTAGTAACTCTAGTAACTCTGTCTAGCTTACCAAACAGAACCTAAGTTAAAGGGCTGCATGCAGCACAGTAAAGATAAATTTACCGAGCAGGAATTTTGGAGTTTTGTCCTCTTAACCAGTCCCTTCTGAAGGAGTTGCAACTGGCAGCACTCATCAGGCAGGGAGGACTACCTGTGTTGGTCAGGCAGCTTAAAACAAACAAAAAGCTAGAAAATAAGAAAAAAGAAAGAATAATAAAAAGTGACCTCTTTTTTTTTTCGGGGGGGGGGGGAAGAGGGGGGGACTTCAAAAAACTTCAAAAAACTTGAAAGAGAAACGAAGTCAAGGGGTTATAACTTATAACACTACCCGGAGAGTCATTGAGATATATGACGCTTATCCTCGGCCATTCCTCTCAACTCATTTCTGTAGGCCCTTCTGTCTGGGACTCTGGGCACATTTACCCAGAGTCCCATTTAACCCAGGTCCATCTATCTGGGCCAATTTATCTGGGCCCATTTCCCAGGCCCATTTATCCAGGCCAAGTTATCTGGGCCCATTTTCCCAGCCCATTTATCTGGGCCAATTTATCCAGCCTGATTTACCTGGGCCCATTTGCCTGGGCCCACTCATAGGGGGACACATTTGTCTGGCCTGCCACATGTGCTGTTGGCTAGACAAAGAGGTTCATGGTACGTTGTTGGGCCCAGTCGCAGAGCAGTTCAACAACTTGCAACTCCATCCTCTGAGCTGTTGGCTGGACGGAGGTTTTTTTAATTATTATTATGCTTAGTGCATAAGGCCACACCCGTCCTTCACGGCGGCGTTCACGCACTGCACAACGCATTGCACAGGTTCATGGTACATAGACGGGTTCCCATCAAACCACCACCGTGCCTGCCCGATCAGCCCCGTGCTCAGCCCCACCCATGCTTCCCTGCCCGCCCGATCAGCCCCGTGATCAGCCCGCTATGTGATCAGTCAGCTCATGACCACCATTGCTCGGCCTTCCCCGTGATCAGCCCGATGATCAGCCCCGTGCTCAGCCCCATCTCATCACATACTTTGCAGCTCTGAAGGTTATCGTCGATCAGGCGGATGATGACCTGCAGGATGGTGGCATGGAAGTTCCCTAGAAAAGACAAAAGCCACACATTACTCTCTCGCTGCGCCGTACATTAACGTTGAACGATCCACCGTGTCAGCACTCTGGAGACCTGAGTGGCTTATCCAAAGTCACAGGAACTTTGACGGAACATTCGCTCTCCCTTCGAGCGCGGTGGCAGCTATTGCAAGTCATCCTCTGCTAGCACATGGTGGACAAACGGTAGGCAGGAACTTTCACAGAAAGTTCACTCTCCCTTTGAGGGCATTTTCCACGTGGAATGTACGTACGAGATGTCGTAATCTCCCACGCTCGAAGACACACGGGAATTATTTGACGATTATCACGAGATGCTCCAACACAATGATGTAACTTGCACAGTGACTGCAACCACGATCAGGTGGATTATTAAAACCTCGTCCATGTGATCAGCCCCCTGTCAAGCATCTGACTGCATCCACGTCCAGGTGCATTGAATACATGTGAAAACGAACAGGTCTTCTTGTTGCAGAGAGAAGCCACAGTACTCTCATTGAAGGAGGACGGCTTTCATATGTGAAATCAGGTGCGCATGTCATCGAGTGAAATCAGGTCCGTGTGAAATCCGGTGCATGCCATTCAGTGAAATCAGGTCCTTGTGAAATCAGGTGCACATGTCATTGAGTGAATTCAGGTCCATGTGGTATCAGGTCACATAAACTTGATTTCACTTGTGAAAGCCGACTGGAAGGAAGTCCCTGCCAACACTGATTTCTTCTTGCCCTTTCAATTTTTCTGCTCCTTGGAATGCAACATATTTGGCTGAACGCCAAGCCCTTTTTTTTTTTTTCAAAAACGGCAATGGCCTTGAGATATCATCATTGAGCTGACCGGCCCATGGCAATTCAGAACTACTTGGTCTTACTCGTCATCAGGTTCCATCATCTGGATTCGAACTCAGGTCTGTATTTCAACAGACTGAGTTCATTGGTGTACGATCTCCTTCATCCGCCGCCCCTCACCAAAACTTCGACCCAGATCCAGCGCACAGCGCGCCATCGACTTCTCCCCCCCCCCCCCCCCCCCCCCCCCTCTTCCAAAACCTTCTCCCCCCAATCACCACCTTAGCGTGCAGTCCAGCAAACAGCGCGTCATCGACTTCCCCCCCCCCGGCCAATGCTGCTTAAGGGATAGGATAATACAAGCGAAATGGTGCTTCCGTTCCCTCCCCCCCCCCSGTCCTCCAAAACCTTCTCCCCCCAATCACCACCGTAGCGCGCAGTCCCGCCATGTACCCTCTTTGATAGGCTCTTGGGTTGGACAGCAAGCCTTAAAAAACTCCCATTTAGTCGGGACATACTTCGTTGTGGATAAGTTTCTCAGAAAAAAACTCAGAAGAACTCACAACCGCAGCCTTGAACGGTTCACGATCACAGAGCGACAGACAGGGCAGTGCTGTAGGTTCGATACGCAAGTGCGGCAAAACTGAAAGGGGGAGGAAAAGGCACAAAATCACACACACAAACACAGGCACACACACAAGCCGTCAATGAGATGATGATTGAAATGTGAGATAGGGGTGACAGCATGGTATCATAGCATTAAGTAACTGCAAACAGTACAGCATACAGGGTGGGAGGCGCAGCTACTGGCAATCATGGGGGAGGTTCAGCGTTAGGTTTGATGTTAGGTCCGGTGGTAGGTCCGGTGGTAGGTCCGGTGGTAGGTCCGGTGGTAGGTCCGGTGTCAAATTCGCTGTTAGGCTCAGTGTTAGGCTTGATGTTAGGTCCGGTGTTAGGTCCGCTGTCAGGTTCGCTGTCCGGTTCGCTGTCCGGTTCGCTGTTAGGTTCGCTGTCAGGTTCGCTGTTAGGTTCGGTATTAGGCTTGATGTTAGGTCCGGTGTTAGGTCCGGTGTTGGGTCCGGTGTCAGGTTCGCTGTTAGGTTCGGTGTTACATTCGATGTTAGGTCCGGTGTTAGGTCCGGTGTTAGGTCCGGTGTTAAGTCCGGTGTTAGGTTTGGTGTTAGGTTCGGTGTTAGTCTGGTTGCTCAGTACATAGCTTATAGCATCAGTTTGGCTAACTGACTTAGCACATAGTTCATGGCATTAGCGTGACTGACTTAGTACATAGCGCATCGCATCACATTATCTAGGTACATAGCTCATAGCAGTAGTTTGGCTGACTCAGTTCATACTAACTTCATAGCTCATTTTCTACTGAGCAAGTACGTAGCGCTTAATCAGAGCACATCTCGTCAGGCATAAGCACACAGCTACTGATTAGCACATAACTATTTGTGACTTTGGGCTGTGTGGGATTGCTGATAACGACAGAAACCATCCATGAGCTATGATTGATTAGCAAAAAATCAGTAGCTTTGAGCTATGTACTGATGAGGTAGCTTGTTGTGTCCCAATGAGTAGATAGTACTACATACCGCATTAGTTCGTGTACTTTCACGTACGTAGTGTCTGTTCTGGTGTGTACTTGGTTGTCCTCCTGATCCGGTACATAGTCTCTGTCGTCCTCAGTTTCCTGTTCTGATGTGTACTTGGTTGTCATCCTGATCGGGTACATAGTCTCTGTCCTCCTCAGTTTCTTTCCTGATCCGGAGTCTCTGTCCTCGTCAGTTTCTTTCCTGATCAGGGTCTCGTCCTCCTCAGTTTCTTTCCTGATCCGGAGTCTCTGTCCTCATCAGTTTCTTTCCTGATCAGGGTCTCTGTCGTCATCAGTTTTTTTTCTTGATCAGGTATCCTCACCAGCACATAGTTTCTGAGTTTCTTTCCTGATCAGGTACATAGTTTCTGTCCTCCTCTGTCCTCATCAGTTCCTTTCCTGATCAAGTACATCGTTTCTGTCCTCACCAATACATAGTTTCTGACGTTCTTTCCTGATCAGGTACATAGTTTCTGTACATAGTTTCTGTCCTCGCCAGTACCAATACATAGTTTCTGAGTTTCTTTCCTGATCAGGTACATAGTTTCTGCACATAGTTTCTGCACATAGTTTCTGTCCTCACCAGTACCAATACATAGTTTCTGAGTTTCTTTCCTGATCAGGTACATAGTTTCTGTACATAGTTTCTGTACATAGTTTCTGTCCTCATCAGTACCAATACAGAGTTTCTGAGTTTCTTTCCTGATCAGGTACATAGTTTCTGTACATAGTTTCTGTCCTCACCAGTACCAATACATAGTTTCTGAGTTTCTTTCCTGATCAGGTACATAGTTTCTGTACATAGTTTCTGTCCTCACCAGTACATATTTTACCGAGTTTCTTTCCTGATCAGGTACATA